TATATATATATATATAGTACATTCAACCTTATTAGATGGTCATCTAGTACTTTAAATGTCTATAAACTTATGAATTCTCTTGGCTATTAATTAGACAAAATGTTGGGACCAGCAGTTGGCATAATGGCTATGTCACTGGACTCCCATGTAGTCAACCATGGTTCAGGTCTCGGACCAGGTGGCTTAAACTCACACCGGGCACATGTGCGTGTGTGCCCAAGATCCCGAGAGGAAAATGGAGGAGAAGGGACTGTGGTGTGGCCATCCCCCTGGGGGGTGATTTCTTGCTTTGTGTCTCTGTCTCTCTCTGTCTTTTTGGTGAATGCACGCACCCTATAGCAAAAACTTCTCAAAAAAAAAAATAGTCAAAATGTTAATATTCAGTTAGACCTAATATTTAAATATGTATAATATAATATTATGTATGCAAGATTGGGTTTAAGAAAAAAATGATCATTTTTTTGGTTAACATTGGTCAAGTATCAGTTCATTATGATTCAAAATCAAAATTAACACTAGCAGAAGCATATTTTATTTAAAAATATGACATCACTAAAAGAAAAAAAGCAGTCACATTTTCCTTTTTTCTTACCAGAGACATCCTTGAAGAAGACCTCCTCCTGATTGGGTTTATTATGACAGTCTGAGTTTGCCTACAAAATAAGATGTCCTTGAAATGAGTGCACACACATATACATGTGCACTCACACATACACACACTCACGCCTCCTAATTCTACCAAAGCAAATTAACATACAGGAAGACAAAATGATAAATCTTCTAAGGCACAAAGAGAAAAATCTAGAGCCAGCAGGTGGCCTGGATGCCACATGGCCAACTCCATGGTCTGAGTATCAGAGCCAGTGGCTTGAGAAACATGTTGGGGGTGTGTGCATGCCCACCCAAACTCCTGAGAGGACAGAGGAGAAGAAGGGACTGTGGCATGGCCATCCTCCCTAGGAACTGATTCTCACTTTCCCTCTCTCTGTCTCTCTCCAGCAAGTGCATATGCCCTATGGCAAAAATCTAATGAGAGAGAGAGAGAGAAACTAAAGCAGCTATTAATTAGAAAAAAAAGAAATTGTTACCCGGGGGGCCTCAGCCCTTTTCTGCTGCCCTCGCCCCTTAGTGAACACTTGGGTTTCAGGCTCTTCCTGAAGCATCATCACCAGGACCATCAGAGAGATCTCTGGGTTATCTCTGCCCTGACTCATCCACTCATTCTCTTGAGTGGTCTTAAGCAGGGGAAAGAAATAAGGTCACATCCCCACAAACTCACCCCACAGGGGCCCGGCTATAGTAGTGCAAGTGGGAGGGTGCCACTGCACAAATGGGGCTGTACAGGTTCAGTTCCAGTTCAGGTGCAGTTCCTGGTCCAACCTAGACAAGCTGGACACAGTGTTGTACACACCTGTGGTCCTGCCTGGCTGGGAGGCTGGGCAGGAAGGAAGACGATATATGTGGCAAGACTCTGTCAAATATGCCTCTCTCTCTCTCTCCTGCACATTCACATGTGTGTGCTCCCTATAACATGTGTGTGCTCCCTATAGCTCTCATGAAAAGCGGGGGCGGGGGAGAAACTAAAACTCATCCAAGGAGAAGCAGGATTTGGTGGAATCCCTCTCTCTCGTGGGCTGGGGGCACTGAGTATCTGCACTAATTGGTGTGACCAACTTTCAGCCCAGAAGCCTGAGGCAATAGGAACTGCCTTCCTATTAACCTCAGACTACACACATGATGGAGAGAAAAGTTTATAATTTTGGTGATTACAAATTTACATTTCCTCTATGGAACTAAGTCCGGGAAAGCAAAAAAGTAAAAAATTAGAGTCAGTGGGCTTACGGTAAACTCATTTATCTTTCTTTGCAAGAAGCTTCTGTATGATCACCTTAATATATGGCTATATGTATGCTTTATACATTTATTTATATCTCTATATACACTTTTTTAAGGCTTTCTAATTTTGTTATTTCTTAAAATACAAAAGTCATATTATCAGAGAAATTAAAACTAAATCTCATTCGTTTATCTATTAAACTTGTTTATTACATATCTACTTTTTAAAGCAACTGAAGTATTAAGGAGTTCTGGCTGATATTTATCTGATAATTGAGACTTTAAACTATTCACATAGTGGAGCCAGCAGGTGGTGTGGTGGTTAAGGCACTGGATCTTCATCCACATGGCCAACCATGGTTCGAGTCCTGGACCTGTCAGCTGAAAATCATGCTGCCAGGTGTGTGTGCATGCCCAAAATCACAAGAGAATGGAGGAAAAGGGATTGTGGTGTGGTTTTCTTCTGTCTCCCTTTCACAAATGCACATGCCCTATGTCAAAAATCTTAAAAAAAAAAAAAAAAAAATTTTTTTCACCTTAGAAAGTTCCTTCTGTGGATGAACAATTAGATTTTAAAAAGACTCATTGTAGGACCAGCAGGTGGAGTAATGGTTATGTCACAGGACTCCCACATAGTCAGTCACGGTTCAGCTCCCAGACCCAGCACTTAAAACTCATGCTGGGTATGTGTGCATGCATGCCCAAGGTCCTTAGAGGAAAAGGGATTGTGGCGTGGCCATCCCCCCTGGGAAGTGATTTCTCCCTCTCTGTCTCTGTCTCTATCTGTCTGGTGAGTGTAAGTGCCCTATAGCAAAAATCTCTCAAAAAAATTAAATGAATAAAAACTTCATTTGTAAATCTATTAAAATAGAGGCAGGACTTTTTGGGTCCTGTACATGATCAGCTTTATTGCTAATAACATCTAGGAACCTGAACACTCGATTCTTGGCTTTGTTGAAGACTTACGCAATTTTGTCAAAGCACTTATTTTTAACGTTTTATTATGTGTTCGTGGCTTGCAAGCTTGTGTGACAAATTACTTCAAAAATATTTTGCGACCTTTTTCATAGTATTTTAAGGACTAATTACTATAAAACTCATCATTGCAAAGTGTGCATTCAATCCATTTCATCAGCAACTTTCCCATAATATCAAGTCTTGCATCTTCCAAATTAACATTATCCTTAGCACTCTGTAACTGGTGTCTTCTATTCAAAATATGAATATAAGCTTACTTTTATAAGATTTTTTTTGAGAGGTTTTTGCTATAGGGTGTGTACGCTCGCCAGACAGACAGAGAGAGACATAGAGATAGAAAGTGAGAAATCACCCCCCCGGGGGGATGGTCACGCCACAATTCCTTCTCCTCCATTCTCCTCTCGGGATCTTGGGCACGCACGCACACGCGCCCGGTGTGAGTTTAAGGCACTGGGTCCGGGACTCGAACTGCATTTGACTATATGGGAGTCCAGTGACATAGCCATTATGCTAACTGCTGGTCCCCCTTATAAGATTTTTGAGATATGAGACCAGCAGTTAGCATAATGGCTATGTCACTGGACTCCCATATAGTCAAATGCAGTTCGAGTCCCGGACCCAGTGCCTTAAACTCACACCGGGCGCGTGTGCGTGCGTGCCCAAGATCCTGAGAGGAGAACGGAGAGAAGGGATTGTGGCATGGCCATCCCCCCTGAGGGGTGATTTCTCGCTTTCTGTCTCTCTGTTTCTGTCTGTCTTTCTGGCGAGCACACGCACCCTATAGCGAAAACCTCTCAAAAAAAAAGACTTTTGACATGAAAAGAAAACTAGTGTATATTAGGAATTTAATGTCCGGTAACCACATTGCTTTTCCCAATTTACTTTTCAAAATAACTTTCTTTCATTATCACTGGAAAGTATTCAGGTTGTTGATGAAATGTAGATTTCTCAGGACCAACAGTTAGCATAATGGCTATGTTGCTGGACTCCCATGTAGTCAACTACAGTTCAAGTCCCAGACCCGGTGGCTTAAACTCACGCCAGGCACGTGTGTTGTGTGCCCAAGAACCCCAGAGAAGAATGGAGAAGAAGGGATTGCGGTGTGGCCATTCCCCCTGGGGGGTGATTTCTCCCTTTCTGTCTTTCTGTCTCTCTCTCTTTCTGGAGAGTGCATGCACCCTATAACAAAAACCTCTAAAAAAAAAAAAAAGAAAGAAAGAAATGTAGATTTCTCTTTTCCAAAGGATGTTCCATTCTTCTAGTGTTTGTGAAACAAGTTTGCATGATATATCTAGACTTTATTTTTTTAAAAAACAGAGATTTTTTGCCTTAGTCTGCGTGCACTCACTGGAACAAGAGAAAGAGACAGTGAGAGGGAACGAGAGCGATCACCCCCAAAGGGGATGGCCACACTGCAATCCCTTTTTCTCCACTCTCCCCCCAGGATCTTGGGCACATACACACACGTGCCCACCATGAGTTTCAAGTCATGGGGTCTGGGACTCAAACCGCAATGAGCTTTGTTGATGTCCAGTGACGTAACCACTACGCCACCTGCTGGCTCCTGTCTAAGTTTTTTGAAAAATATTCTTTAATTTCATGCTAAAATATTCCTTAAAATTGGTGTACAGAATTCAAAGACACTATATTTTGTAGTCTTGTAATGTACTTTGCCTCTAGTAAATTCCTATTGTTAGGGACATGTTTGGGCAAACTGGGTCCTCAGAACTTCATATGCAACTACCAGAGACTCACTTCTAGATAAACTGAACATTTTTTGTGAGGGAGGGAATATAATCTTTTCTCCTCCACTCTCTTCTCGGGATTATGGATGCACATGCACCCATAATGTTTATTGCATACACGCAACTGGCATGTTTTTCAAGCTGCCGGGTCTGGCACTGGAACCAGTAGCTGGTCATATGGGATACAGCCATCTAACCACCATGTCACTAGGTGACCCCTGGATTGAACTTTTAAAGTACTATAAATTCAGAAATGGCGAGAAAGGGCTGCTGATAGACCCCTCTATCAACAAACTCCAACTTATCTATAGTTGCCCATTTGGTGGCAAAAATAAAACTTCAGTATGTTAAACACAGACTCCAAGGATGCAGCACTGAAGAGCAGAGGCGGCAACTCCCACACATGCTGTCTATTTTGGCAACCTTGCTAGCAACATCCAGTCCGAGGGCGAACACTGCCTACTGCAGAAGTCAGTTCTGTTAAACACCCAATAAACTCCTTCCTCTCCTATCTGCCAAAGTGTCAGACCTAGCGGCCTTGTCATCAGTTGTTTTTTTTTTTTAGAAGAGATTTTTGGTATAGGAAGCATGCGCTCATGCAAGAGAGAGTGACAGAGAGACAAAAAGTGAGAAATTACCTCTCGAGCAATGTCCACGCCACAATCTCTTCTCCATTCTCCTCTCAGGATTTTGGGCATGCATGCATACCCACCTGGCATGAGTTTGCAGCCTCCTGGTCTGGGACTTGAACTATGGTCTGCTATGTGGGAGTTCAGCAACCTAAGCATTATGCCAACTGCTGGTCCACCATCAGTTCTAACATTCTAACCTCCTCTCCCTTCTTGGCATTGTTCTTACAGAAGCAGTTTACTCTGAGATCAGTTATCTTCAACTTAGTGCACAGAGAAAAGGGTGTAACTGTTGTTCTGGGAAACACTACACTTAGAGGTGCTGCTGGAGATGAGAGAGCTAAAGAACTCTGGGGAGAAATCACTGGAACGTGTGCACTGCGGAAGGGCCACAAGAAGGGCTGCCAGCCTGAGTCCAGCCAACTTTGTTACTTATTGAAACTACGTATTAACTCAAGGACTCAA